TCTCACTAGAGCGCATGTGCCAAACACAAGGTCCGCGGGCCAAATGTGGTCCGCGGGTGACTCTCGTGTGGCCCGCACAAAAAAATAATAATAATAATTTTACTTATTAAAACTGTTTCTTTTATCAATGGTAAACTTTAAATTTATGATTAAATGCAACAAAATAAATTTAATAAAAGTAAATGCATCATCTATTAAATCAGTCGACGATTTTATTAGTCGACAATAATCGTGACTAGTCGACAATAATCGTGACTAGTCGACTAATCGTGGCGACCCCAGTTCGGAGGGAGTGTGAATTTGGCTTTATGAGACACTTTATCGTCCAGCAAAATTGGTTGTTGTAACATGCAAACAAGGTGTATTAACGCTCGCACCAAGATAACTAGATTAACCAAATGAGCTTTCCTCTTTGAATCGTGCTGCAGGCTCAAAGAAAAACAGAGATGCATTTGTTTACGTGAGTGTAGAACATGATGAAAATGCTAAGAAGCGCTGTGTAAATGTAGCCTAWAGGAATAGAAAGGTGATCCATTTATCTGTGTTTTGGTTTACATCCCAACCAGACACCCTTCGTCTACAGAGGAGTTCCCACACTCATTCAGGACTCCCTCCTTTGTGCCAGGGCTGCCCCGGGGTCTCTTTACAGAATACCTCCACAGGTGAGGAGCGGAGTGGGGAACGCAGCTTAACTGGTAACGTGAGAGCTTCTCTTTTCAGGTTGAAAACCTGAACGCGAGAGGAAAATCCTGCCTTTTTTTTTTTTTTTACATCCCCATGCGTACCTGCAGCTTGCGTCTGGATTCCACTGATGACGGCCGGGACGGACGTTAGCGAAGTCTGTGTCACTGTAGGTATCTGGGTCTGAGGCGGGGGCACTGTCGTCGTGGCCACCGTCACCTCCATCGTCCCCAGCGGAGGAGACAGCACGTCTCCGTACAAGTACGGAGGAGTCGGAGGGTTTTCACCTTTMACTGTAACCTGAGGAGGAGACAGGGGACATTGAGACACGTTGGACATTTGGGTGTTTTTTCTGCCAGATCGTTCCTCAGTCTGAACTTATTTGTTCTGTGTTGTGAAATAAAAAGCACCAGATAAAATAATATAGTTTGATTATGGGAGGAACAAAATAAGGGATCTTTATTTATGAGCAGTGATTTTAACAAACCTGTGGTTCGGGTGAGGACACGGAATAGTCGGACTCCAGAGAGGACGCAGGAGACGGAGGCTCTGCTTTTATCTGGAACACTGAACACAAACAAAAGAAGCCGTTTAAAAAAATGGCTGAACATTTAAAAAAACGTGCACAAATACGATTAAAGCAAAAATCAACTTACACATTTCCACTGGTAAAGGTTCTGTTATGGTCATCTCGTTTTTTATCACTGAAGTGTTTCCTAAAATCGAAGACACAAGACTATCAAACGCATAATGCAGATATAGATGCTTCATCATTTATTCTACTACAGAATGAAGCTCA